AATACAGGATGAGTCCCTTGGGACCAGAAGTGTTTGATTTTGGAATATTTATATATACAGTACTTAATGAGATATCTTGGAGATGGGACCCAAGTTTAAACATTAAATTCATTTATGTTTCACATATGCCCTATACAAATAATAACAATAGTTATGATAATTTGGAATCATCATCATCATCTTACCTGTCTCTCCGCATGGATCAAGGCGAGGAACAGCAGCAAATCAGCAATGAACATCTTCAATTCAAACAGATTAATTAAAACATGTACCATTTTAAAAAGGACGAACAAGACATATACAAGTCAGTTTATCACATGGAACGGATCCCATGCAGAAACTGAATTCAACTGGACTTAAAACTCACAAAAGCCGGGTGTTTTTTACATGACGTTCAAGGTTAACTAAGAACAGAAAGTAGAAATAACCATCTAAAGCAGGTTGTTTTTTACACGACGCTGGCATCAAGGAGAAATGACATGTTATTAATCCAAACGGAAAGACGCCAAAACTTTTAATTTTGGGAACTTTTGAAAGTAAAAAGGAGCAGGTTTTGGTGACTTTCCGCTCTGGTTAATCTCACGTTATTTCTCCTTTACACAAACACATCTGAAAAACAACCTGCTTTTGCGCTCCCCACCTCCTGAATTTTTAAATCCCATTTCTGCATAGGATTTGAGCAATTTCCCTCTCTGTGATAATGCTGATACACATTATAAAGCAATCCACATTTAAAATTAATAGTCTAAATTTGCCATTTTAAATCATTTGAATAAGGATTCTGGAAGAAGAGACTCTTCTTCAATGCTGGTTTAAATTCAGACACCATATTCAGCTGTTGAATCTCTTTGTGGCAGGTCATTCCCTAGTTTTGGGGTGGCTGAAGAAAAAGTCCCCTGGCTGACAGTCGCCAACCTAGTCCTGGCGTAAATGTCTGCCAGAGACCCTGAGTGTACAGTGCACATAGCCTGAAGGTGATTATTTTTAATAATTGTGCGCATGAAACAAAAGTTTGTGGACACTGAACCATCAGAAAGCATAGGTGTCACTCTCTCAGCTACCCACTCTGCAGAGCAGATGCAGCCCAAGCGGCTAAGCAGTTTCCTTATGAGAAGCCCCCCAGCAAGGCATGAGTGCAACTGGACCCTCTCTCACACTCTAACAAACCTTCTTTGGAGGTCTTTAAACAGAGGCTGGATGGCCATCTGTTGGGGATGCTTTGATTTTGAGTTCCTGCATGGCAGAATGGGGTTGGACTGGATGGCCCTTGGGGTCTCTTCCAACTCTATGATTCTATATTCTATGAAACGTACAGAGACATCATGCCTCTGATTCTGGAGATGACACTTGACACTCCTGACTAGTAATTAAATCTTAACCTGATTGAAGTGATCTAATCCACTTTTTAAATACTCCCAAATTGGCAACCATTATTATATCATGTGGCAGCGAGTTCCACTGTTCTTATAATGCGTGAAGCACTGCCTTTCATTTATTGCAAATTTCACAAGGCCACAGCTCACCCTGGAACTAAGCAGGCGCAGTTACAACTTCACAAAAGTGAAGTTATTCACAAAATAGATTGCATTTTGACATTAGGAACTACTTCATGACGGTAAGAGCTGTTCAACTGTGGAAGATGCTGCCTTGGAGTGTGATGGAGTTTCTTTCTTTGGAGGTTTTTAAACAGGAGCTGGATGGCTATTTTGGAGGAGTGCTTAGATTGTGAGTCCCTGCATGGTAGGAGTCTCCTTTATTTGAATTGCTTAGGACTAGAAGTCTTTAGAATTTTTCCTTTTTTTTAGATTTTGGAATATTTGCATGTAGATAATGAGATATCCTGGAGATGGGATTCAAGTTTAGACAATAAAATTCATCTAGGTTTCACATACACCTGATGCACAGAGCCTGCAAGGTACTTCTATACACAATATTTTTAATAATTTTGTGCATGAAACAAAGTTTGGATCCATCGAACCACCAGAAAGCCATGGTGCCACTGTCTCAGCTACCCATTGGGATATTCTGGAATTCAAAATTCCAGACAAGATATATGCAACCCAAAGATAACTTTATATGCAAGAATAAATTGCTGTTGTTTATTGTTGTGTGCCTCCATGTCATTTACTATGGTGACACTATGGCAAACCTATCTCAGGGCTTTCTTGGCAAGATTGGTTCAGTGGAAGTTTGACTGAGCCTGAGAGAGTGTGACTTACCCAAGTTCACATAGTGGGTTTCATGGCTGAGACGGCATTCGAACCCTGGTTTCCAGAGTCTTAGGTCCAGAACACACTGCAGGAATAATCCAGTTTGAGACCACTTTAACTGCCCTGGCTCAATGCTAGGGAATCCTGGGAACTGGTGAGACATTGAGCCTCCTTTGTCAGAGAGAGAGAGAGAGAGACCAAGCTCTGGTGATGCCACAACAAACAATTCCCAGGTTCAAACAAAAATCCACCAAACAGGTAAAACATTTTTTCTTCTTCTTAAATTTGAACTGGATTGGCATGTTTTACCTCAGTACCTACCAAAATGTTCCTGATGCAAAAACATGGAGACTCCTTGAGGAATCCATTATCCTCTGCCTACAAAGAGGTCTGTGACCTCATAGAAATGGAAGCATATTGGATTGCAAGAGATGCAA